AAAAAAAAAAAAAGAAGAAAGAAATGTTTCCAGACATTGTCAATTGTCCCAGGGGAGCGGGTGGGGACAGGGGGAATGAAATCACTCTTGGTTTGAGAATCACTGTTCTAGAACCACACATGACTACTCAGTTTTCCTTAAACAAACCATGAATTCACATTGTTGTGGTTTTTTTTGTTTGGTTGGTTTTTTTTCTGAGGTGGTCTCCCTCTTTCACCCAGGCTGAAGTGAAGAGGTGTGATCTGGGCTCACCACAACCTCTGCCTCCCAGGTTCAAGTGATTCTCCTGCCTCAGCCTCCCGAGTAACTGAGATTACAGGTACCCGCTACCACACCCCGCTAATTTTGTATTTTGTATTTTTAGTAGAGACAGGGTTTCTCCATGTTGGTCAGGCTAGTCTTGAGCTCCCGAGCTCAGGTGATCCACCCGCCTCAGCCTCCTAAAGTGCTGGGATTACAGGTGTGAGCCACCACGTCCGGCCTCTTGACATCTTTCAAGACCCATATTCTCTGTGAGGATTCCCCAGGTGTAATCTAGTGGTGAACCATTATCTACCTGGTCTTTGCTTTCTTGAGGCCTATGGGGCAAGGGGCAGAGGAGACAATTATCAAATATTCACTACAATTCATGTATATTTACAAACTAAGACAAGTGGGCATTGTGGCTTATTCATGCTTGTAGTGGGCATGGTGGCCCACACCTGTAATCCCAACACTTTGGGAGGCTGAGATGGGAAGATCGCTGGAACCCAGGAATTCGAGGCTAGCCTGGGCAACATAATGAGACCCCCATCTCTACAAAAAATAAAAAATTAGCCAGGCATGGTGGTATGTGCCTATGGTCCCAGCTACTCAGGAGGCTGAGGAAGGAGTATCACTTGAACCCAGAAATTTCAGGCTGCAGTGAGCCATGATAGTGTCACTGCACTCCAGACTGGGCCACAGGAGGAGACCCTGTCCCAAATAAATAAATAAATAAATAAATAAAGTTAATTTTTTAAAAAGGTACTTTCTGGCCAGGCACGGGGGCTCATGCTTGTAATCTCAGGACTGTGAGAGGTCAAGGTGGTTGGATCATTTAAGGTCGGGAGTTCAAGACCAGCCTGGCCAACATGGTGAAACCCCGCCTCTACTAAAAAATACAACAATTAGCTGGGCGTGGTGGCAGGCACCTGTGGTCCCAGCTAATCTGGAGGCTGAGGCAGGAGAATCACTTGAACCTGGGAGGCAGAGGTTGCAGTGAGCCAAGATCACACCACTGCACTCCAGTCTGGGCAACAGAGTAAGACACTGTCTCAAAAATAAATAAATAAATAGAATAAAAAATAAAGGTACTTTCCATGTGGCAAATGATATGCAAGACATTGCAGACAGTGACGGGAAAGCACAGATAAGGGCACAGCTCAATGTGGGGAATTCACAAGACCTCCAGAGGCTTCATTACTCTTACTCAGAATTGTAGAAACTTAAGCTAATGCACTTTGCCCAAGATCACAGAACTCGTGAGGAACAGAGACCTGATTCAGTGTCAAGTCTCTCCAAACCCAGTACTGTGTTCTTTCCATTCCCCCAGTGTCCTTTCTGCAGCCACAGCACTTTATTTCTCCTGTTTAGCACTGACTTCATCCTAAAATGTATAATTTATATGGTAACAACACTTTCCATAATCCTAAAACAGTATATGTAATTTTGCCTAAATACCGTTCTATCATCATTACTTTTCAAAAATGATTTGGAAAATTATCATAGCTTTTTTGTTTGTTTGTTTGTTTTTTGAGGCGGAGTTTTGCTCTGTCACCCCGGCTGGAGTGCAGTGGCGCGATCTCGGCTCACTGCAACTCCGCCTCCCAGGTTAAAACAATTCTCCTGCCTCAGCCTCCTGAGTAGCTGGAACTACAGGCACCCATCACCACGCCCAGCTAATTTTTGTATTTTCAGTAGAGACAGGGTTTCACCATATTGGCCAAGCTGTTCTCCAACTCCTGACCTTGTGATCTGCCTGCCTTGGCCTCCCAAAGTGCTGGGATTACCGGCGTGAACCACTATTATAGCTTTTTTTGTAAACTGCATTATCTGACTCAATAACGATTATCTGATCGTTCTCAAAGACCACTGAACAATAATGCTTAATAGGTGCTTATCAGGTTTCTCATTTATTTTATTTTATTATTATTTTTTTTAAGCGGAGTCTCGCTCTTGTCTCCCAGGCTGGAGTGCCATGGCACAATCTCAGCTCACTGCAACCTCCGCCTCCGGGTTCAAGCAATTCTCCTGCTCAGCCTCTCAAGTAGCTGGGATTACAGGCACCCGCCACCACGCCCAGCTATTTTTTGTTTGGTTGGTTGGTTGGTTGGGTTTTTTTGAGGCAGAGTCTCGCTCTGTCATGCAGGCTGGAGTGCAATGGCACGATCTCGGCTGACTGCAAGCTCCGCCTCCCGGGTTCATGCCATTCTCCTGCTTCAGCCTCCCAAGTAGCTGGGACTACAGGCGCCCGCCGCCAGGCCCGGCTAATTTTTTTGTATTTTTAGTAGAGACGGGGTTTCACTATGTTAGCCAGGATGGTCTTGATTTCTTGACCTCGTGATCCACCCGCCTCGGCCTCCCCAAGTGCTGGGATTACAGGCGTGAGCCACCGTGTCTGGCCTTTTTTTTTTTGAGACAGAGTCTCACTCTGTCACCCAGGCTGGAGTGCAGTGGCATGATCTTGGCTTACTGCAACCTCTG